TGATAAGGTTTATTTGATTTTTTTCTTGAAACCTTTCAAGACCATTAAGACTCCCACTGACTCCTTGACATATAAGATTCTTTTGTCAATAACCATTTCTTGACAAACAAATATTCAAGAGTTAGTGTAGCTTTTATCAAAACACTTCATAAATTGGTCTAAGTTGGTCTTTGTCTTATTCAAGACATCACAAATTTCCACATTTTATGAATGTTATAAACCTTTAATACTTTTCACTCATTGGCACAATCTTAACTTTAAGACTTGTTATTGGAACGAAGTATGATAGACTTCTTGATTTAACCATTTCTTCAATTCTTGATTCCTCTTCTCAAACATACAATTGTACTAAGACTTACTTAGAGGATCAATTGAGATATGGTTCTTAATCATTAAGACCTATCATAAAGCATAAAAGGTACTCTCCCTTCTTCTTAGAATGGAGAAACTTTTATCTTTCTGCCTACTTGATTCTTCTTATTCGTTCTGCTATTGATTTAAACATTTTCAATCAATTCAGAATTACACTTAATCTTATAAGCATAATCATATTTACTAAACCTTTAGTAAATCATGACGAATATCTTGTTACTCTTATGGTGGACTTTGATCAACACACAACTTTGTGTACTCGATCTCCTAGTCCTTCACTTGACACTTTGTCAATGAATTAGTCTAATTTCCAAATACGAAATTTCTCATTCATCGTGCAACCAAGTTGCATGATTCCAAGTTTCTGTCCAATTGAAACTTGGGCGATGAGAAACTCTCCCTATTTGGTAAATTCTCAACATTCCATAAATAACATAATAAGAACCATATCCATTATAGAAACATTTTAACATCAATGTTTCATACACGCCATTGCAAGGATAAATAAATAAAATTTAAAATCAAAATTTATTTTATAGCGGAAAAATTTGCCCTTACAATGCAATTCATTGAAAAACTATGCTAATACATCTTTCTTAGTAATCTATTCTAACTCTAAGTAGTAGCTCAAGAATCTAATCTTCTATAAATGCAATCGAAATCCATTCTTTCACGGTTAGATTCTGCTCACTCTTTCCCTTAAGCTTCCTTTCTTTTCTTCGATCCTACAAAACATCAATTGTAATCTTATCACATTATGTATTGAGAATCTAGAATAGAAGCTTAAAAGAGTTAGTTAATGGATGTTACCTATATTAGAGCCATACGTTTCGACTCTCCCATCTCTTAGATCTCTTAGGTAAATAGGGCAGCTTCGTCTCCAATTCCCTTCTCTTGGCAATAAAAGCAAATCGACACTTTTAGAACAGGACATGGAACTACTTCAGACATCGCCTTTCTCTTATGATCAAACTTTTCGATAATAGCATGTCTTTCGTTGCTATTGTCTATATCCATAGAGGTCTCGAAGGCAGATTCACCAAGCAAATTTGCTTTTCTATTGCACCAAATCATTGCAGATTCAGCAGCAATAAGCATATAGGTGAGATCTATAAGGGTCACTTCATAGTTCATCATATAGTACTCTCTTACGAACTCACTATATGAGTTGGAAAGTGACTGAAGAACCCAATCAACATCCATTTCCTCACAGACAACGGATCCCAACATTCTTAACCTATCAATGTGTGACTTCATCCCTAGGACGTGTGCACACACGGACTTTCCTTCTTTATGTTTACATGCCAAAAGGGCTTGGTGATCTTGAACTTTTCAAGCCTTTGATCTTGTGGGTTAGGGAGAATAATTGGAGGAGGTGGAGGAAGTGAAGCATGATTTCTTGTTCCTCGATCAAATCGTGGAATATCATCTTCATGTGGAATGCTTATTCCACGGGATTTGAGAAGACCATAGTTGTCGAACTTTGACATCTACAAAACGGGAGAAAAACGAATTCAAGTTAGTTGATCGATTGAGTCCTTAGTAAATCACCCAAATGAGATACTAAGGCTAGGACCCAACACAAGATTCCACAACTCGGGAGAGGGATGTCGTAACCCTAATTGTAGAATATTTGAAGGTAAGTGAATGACGATTCACTAATTTCAACCACGAAAAAAAAAAATTTAAGTTTTTAATCTATGAAAACTCCTAGATTCTGTGAGATTCATTGAACTTTCAATGGCATGTTTAAATCTCGATATGCCCCTCTTGTTTGTGACTGGGATGCCGAGGATCACAAAGCGGGTGTGAATAACCATGCAAACTTACATGGTGCCCTAACATGTTACATTCACCTATTCGATGTGCCGGTAAACCACACACGCTCCACCGAACTATGACAAACATTGAGTCACCCTTTGCTACCTTTGCTTAGAACCAATTTGTGTGCTAGTAAACCACACACGCTCCACTAACGTCTTCGCAAGGGCACAAAGTGCAATTTCATGGAATTGCATTAATTCACTTTTGCCTAAGTAACTAAGATTGGGAATTTTATGAAAACATTTAGTTACTTTCATTATACTTATAATAGAAGGTTTCTTCCTATCCTACCCGTTCGGCTAACGACCCTCCACTAGTCAAGAGTGCGGTGGGTAAGAATGGATACCCATTCAGTCGCCATTTTATAGGCAATTTCCTTAAACACCCCTTATAGACTAGCTTCGTGAATGAGGCCTACTAACGGTAATACTGACTTTTACTCAAACATATATATAATGTTAGACTTTTAATGTTATATATAGTATAGGGTGTATTTTATACTTTCAAAATACTAGGTGGTCTAATTTAACAATTATACTTTTAATTCAATTAAATTGTAAACCTAAACTTTTATGGATTTATTAAATTTCTTTTAATTATACACCTTAATTAATTAACAAAACCATAAGGGTGTGATTTGAACTTTTTCAAAACTATACTAGAGTTTTAGAATTTAACATTCCTAATTAAACTTTTAATCGACTTTTAAATTCCAAAACTTGAGGGCAAGTTTTGAAACATTTCAAACCATTAGGGTTTAGAATTTAAATATACATCAAAATTAAACTATTAATCAAAAATTTAAATTCCAAAACTAGAGGACAAGTTTTGAAACCTTTTTCAAAACATTAGGGTTTCAACTAATTAAATTTCAAAACAATAAAACTTTTGGGTTCAAATTTAAACTATAAAACCTACAAGGGAAAATATGAAACTTTTCATAACAACAAGGATCAAATAACAAATAATTTAAATTAATATTTAATCAGATAATTATCCATATTTGATTTATCTAATGATTTCTTGCAAAATAATTTACCAATTTAATCAAAATAATTAATCAATTATCACATAAGGAAATAAATATTTTATTAATTGATAAATATCTTTAATTAGATCAAGAATATAGTCAAATATATCATATAATCGGATTTATATTGATCTAATATGATAAGGTAACTATCCTTAAGCAAAAACAGCAAGAAATCCCGAATATAGCTCCATCTGATGCTCGAACTCGCCGAGTACCACACTGTACTCGCCGAGTTGAGGCCTACTCGCCGAGTACACTGTGGTACTCGCCGAGTTCATTAGGCAGAACCACAAAAAACGAATTTTTTCAACATACAAGGCATCAATACAATAGAAACCAATCATGGCTCTGATACCACTGATGGGTTTTGGTCATAAGGCATCCTATGTGCTCATACAAACCCTAATGCTTGGATCTAGGTTTCTCTATTGTACATGCTTTGAATCCAAGACTATAAACCCTAATTCTAACATATGGAAATCAACATTAACATATAAATGGATTTAAGAACATACCTTGATTGTTATATAGCAATAACAATCCTAATTCCTCCTTGAATTGACTTTGGAAGGCTTAGAGTCACAAGTGTCACTACTCTAATGGCTTACAAACACCAAGAGCAAATGGAGAAGATATAAGGAGAGAGGGGAGGTATCAAATTCATCCCTAGAAGCCTTAGGAAAGGTCTTACACAAATTCATGAGCTAAGGGGGTTTATATAGGTGTACAGATAGGGTTTCAATCATTATCCTTATCTAGTTGCTTGCTTACCAAGCAACCCATAAGATAATCCTTGAATCCTTAGCATAGTCGAATTCTAAGGCATTATCACCTTAAATTCGTCCATCCTATACTTAGGATAATCCTTTCCTTATTTTGTAACTATCACATAATTACAATTCAGCCCCTCTAGTTTAATTAATTACACTTTATCACAAATTAATTCTTAATTAATTATTGACCAATATTAATTAAACAAATATGATTTCTCCTTTAATATATTATTCTTATAACATATTAATAAATTATAATAACCTCTCTCTCTATTTATTTCTTCAATCAAGTTGCTTTGGTGAAGGCAACCCAAAAGGACCATGCACCATCGGGTCAAGTACATACCAAAATAGTTATGGACTTAGACACTAATCTAACACTAATATGGACTCAAATGTTAATATTGGTGTGACTACTTTGGAACCTCCATTATCTTCTATTCCTCCTGTGTCTCCAAGTTCAGATGCATATTTTATTATTGGTGATGAACCTAAATCACTCGATGATTTTTCTATTCCCGATTTTAATTTTTGAGTTGAAAGTGATGATGAGGTTGGTTTATCTGCTCCAACATTGCATGGTGAATTTCATGAGCCGAAAAAAAAACATTTATTAGATTCTTCTCCATACAAATTCTTTTTCTATAACAAATTCAAAAAATATGGTTACATCTCATCAAGCAACCACAGAGATGTTGACTCAATCTAGTGCTAATGTTTTTGAATATCAAAAGAAATAAGCTACAAAATCAGCTAAGAAGATTGAAGAGTCAAATGCCAAAATTGATAAAGTTGCTTCGGATGTTAAGGAAATGTTTTCATATGTGAAGTACTTTATGACTGATTTTCAAAATTCTTATGATAAGAATGCTGCTGAAATTAATTAGGCAATTGAAGGGTTTCATCTATCCCTTCAAACTTAGAAGGAAGCACTATCTAGTCTTTGTTTTGGTCTTCAACGTTATAATGCAGATCATCATACATCCATTTCCAACTCTATGTTAAGAGCACAAATTGATATTGCCCATGAAAACAAATGCATGGATGCTCTTACCGAATCAACACAAAAGGTCAAATTCCTCAAGGAACAATTAAAGAATGCTATGATTGAGCTTTCCAAGGTGAATGAAGAATTATTTTTGGTTAAAGGCCATAATTATGAAATAAATCAGCATTTTGTTAAAATTGTTAAGAATAAGGATGCTCCTTTTGGTTACTACACTTATGAGCCCAAACGATGGATTCAATAAGTTCTTGCCAATAACCACGTCCACTGAATAAAAACATTAAACTAAAAGCCCATATACGTGAATTGCTCAGTAGTGCTTCGCCACTACCGTAGCTGGCGGAAATAGCTTAATTGGTAGAGCATAGCCCTGGAATAAGAAAACAAGTGCTAAGTTTCAGATCAGTGAATAAACCGAAACGAAAGAAGAGACCATTCTATTTTTGTCAGAGGGCAATATGAATGTTCTATCATGTTCCATCAACACACTAAATGGGTTATACGATATATCCGGTGTGGAAGTAGGCCAACTTCCTTCACCTAAAAGAGAACTTAATTTAGCAGCTCTTTCCAAAAGGCGTGAATGTAAATAAAAAACATCCCCTGGATAAGCTGCAACTGATTGATGCAAAAATGAAGTCAGCTGTTTTGAAGTTAAATGAAGTTTTAGATTTTACGCATACCCTAGCTATTGCGCAACAAGGGGGGATGATGAAGGAGAAGGAAAAGCGAATGAAGGTGAAGATCCTATAAATAAAGATGAAATTCCTGATGTCGATTTGAGGAATCCTTATCAGACAAGAAAGATGGCTAAGCCTGATGCTACGAAAGTTGTTCTTGAAAAATAGTCTTTGAAAGAAAATTTGAAAAATCCCTGATAAGTAAACACTGGTTGGAAGGGTAATATATCTTCTGGATCAGGGAAAGGAAAGGTGAATCTTGTCTTGGAAGAAAATGATGATTTGAATCCTAATTTATTAGAAACAGAATTGAAAGAAAGAGAAAAACGTGACAAAAAGCTTTATGCCTTGAACATCTTAAAGACAAAAATTATTGCAGAAGAAGCTAAAGAGAAGAATGTTGAGGAAACTCTTACTACAAAGAAGGCTATGTTTCTGTAGTAGACTGTAGACTGGATTAAAAAATAAGCAATTGATAATCCGAATTTATTTTGCTTGGAACCTCAGACTTCTTTCTCAGTTAAGAACGAAATGGATTGTCAGCTGGATTTTCATATTTCTGCTAAAGCCTTTATATTCTGATGCTTTGATTTCAATTTTGAAAGTGCCTTTGGCAAACAAATCGATAAACAAGAACTTGTTCAATTTTTATGTGAAGAATTCAAAGTCACAATTTGAATCCTGGAGCTTGAAGAGGATTGTTGCATTGAAAGTTGCAAAACCTATAGGTGTTGATGGATTTGCAAATGTCAATTTGAAGGCTTTTATGAGTCATAATTAGGAGGTTCATGAATTATATTTGGCTGATATTGCATTTATGAATCCTTATGATTCGATTTCTTTGTTCGATAATATTTCAAAGGACATTGTGAAGTATGAGCCTATCTTTCAATTTTTGAGAAGGGTGATATGGGCATATATTCTTGAAATCGTAAATATTGATGTTGAAATTGCAGTTGTTCTTAATCGATAGCCTATTCTTAATCCATTTTCAGTTCCTGATAATGAGGAAAAATTCAAGTCTAGATTTATTGAAAACGAACTTGATGGAGTGTCTTACAAGATGAAAGAGAATGAAGTGGTGAGAAACTGTATTATGTTCTTAAGAGATAAACATTTATACTCTATTGCTACTCTAAATCAAATCCTTGAAAAGGCTGAAGCGGAGAAGTCAAATAAAGAAAGAAATTTAAAGTATATTTTTGATTTGATCAAATGGTGGATAGTTAATCTTGTAGCTTTATTGAATACTATTACGAAGGTTTTTGAAGTTGTGAAGAAAAATGAAGAAAATACCAAAACATCAACTTGATACAAAGGGGATATTGTTAGGTTTCGTAAATAGGTTGTCTCTAGTTGTATGCGTTGTTCGTAATCAGATTGTAATGTTTAGTTTCTTTTCTTAATTTCAAAACGAGTTGTTGTTATTCTGATTTTGGAATGTATTTAATCTTAGGTTTGTAGTTCTGAACTGTTAACTTAGGATTCCTTTCTAGTCCTCCTTTGGCGCTTATATATAGGGCATTAGTTAGTAGAGTGGATAGAGTTTCTGCACACAGAATAGTTCTGCACAATCATATTGTACCAAATTGTTCTCTTTGTCCATAAATGCAAATAGATCTTATTTACATCTTTGTGTTCATCCAAATCATTTACATCTTCATATGATATTTTTATTTTAGAATCTATCATTCCAATAATTCCCACATTGCTAGTTTGAGTTGTGGGACTCAGGAAGGAAGCCCCTATGATGATCGACTCAAGGATGGCGGCTTAAGGTTGAGTAGTCAGCTGATAGCAAGGGATGTTACTTTCTGTATCAGGGTTGTGATTTCCTGCCTCCTAGGCTCGAGGGAGGAGAGATCGGATGTGGGTCAATCGATGACTAAGATAGGAGGTAGTAATCTCCTGATCAGTTCTATTGTAAGTAGCTGAAGCTTGGTTCGCAATAAATCATCCATGTATCATAGTGAAGGGATGTTTGAGAGTCGATGCTTTCATGGTTCGATGGCCAAGGTAAAGGCCATGTCGCAGGTGGAATATGTGTCATAGATCCTAGAGGGCCAGGTATATCAGAGAGCGAGGAGCATTGTCTAGTTACTGTTTTATCACTCGAGAGAGTTCTATACTTATATTGAGTTTGTTGGAGATATGTTTTGAGCATCTATAGAGGATTCTTGAAGTTTCAAGAGAAGGATGAGGTTGCGGATCAACTCTCCAAGCATATGGTTTTATGTGTGAAGGTTCAGTTCAGAAGGTGTTTACTCTATCCGATGGTGTGATCGATTTCACTAATTTAGTTGGCAATGTTGGGTGAAAGCCCTCCCAAGTCTCCATCTGAGATTCGGAGTTATCTTATACAAAGGATCATATTGTGTTGCTTCATGCTTTTTAAGAGTCAAGACGGGTATGTTCATGGTTAAGCCCGTCTGAGGATTTAGTGTTACAGACGCAAGTCAATGATGATTCGCGCACTAAGTGGGGGTGAGTTGGGTGGTCTGACTGGCGAATCATCAGTCGATCTGATTTTAAGGTTTCATCGTGATGAGACATGGAAATTTGCAATTAAGGGATGTCATATTTTTAGTTTAGAGTTTATGGTCGTATGCAGGTAGGAAGTGGTCTATCTTCGAAGTGTTCATGATTAGGAAGTTTCTCACTACGTTCCTCAGGGATCTATAAAATTCCTACATGAACGCAGAGAATTCAAGGTTTGGTCAGATTGTGAGTGCATAGCAATATGTTGTTAGGTAGGTGTGTTATCCTCGCAATAAAAAGCTGATCGGTAATGAATTTGTTGCAACCAATAGTTCTTTTTAGAAGTGTCATGAATTTTTATCGAGGAGCTTTGAGCCACTCGAGCTGTGCAACAGATTTAGAGAACATGGTTAGCTCGCAGTATGGTTCGGTTATTTATAACCTAAATGCGCAGTCATTGCTGTGTTGGGAAGATTCAGAGTTTGATAAGAGTATTTTCGTAGAAGTTTTGCTTAGTGTGTATGGGGTCATTGGATTTAGTTCTCGACCATTTATTGATCAGTGATTGTTTCATTTATCAATAGTAGTTGAGGATAATCGAAGGATTCAAGTTGTATCAACCAAGGGGGCAATTGATGAGTCAACACTTGGACAAGTTTAGTAAAGTTTGTATCTAAGTTGTGGTGTATGCCTTCTATTGATTTTTGGTAGTGGGAATTTCGTTCCTAGTGGCTTTGAAATGGCAGCTGGCATTAGTCAATGGAAGATCGGAAATCGGGGCAATAATGTTAAGTTTTTAGGTAGGAATGTGATTACACAAAATTCGGTTTTAGCAGGTCGCATCGGCCAGGTTGGCAGCATTTCTAGCATATTTATGGAATCCCTTCCAAATTGGGAGTTTTATTGATCTTTTACGCATTGGTGGGAATTTTTAGTGTCATCCAGGTGTGAAATCTTAATTACTATCAATAGAATGTGTCTGATGGAGGTTAATGTTCGGTGTCAATTTGTTGATATGAAACCTTGTGGGTAAGGTCACGTTTAAGGAGAAAAACAACTGGCATAAGGAGCATAGTGTCGTCTTTTGGGGGAGTGTCACATGTTGGAGCAGGCGTTCGACGACCTATTTAATTCCTGATAGTATACGAGCGTGTTTCGTTTAATGATGTGTTAGTGGTAATGGGATTACAGAAGGGTGCATGTTGCAGAATGGTATGGCTCATGTATTTTGGCAAAATGATGAGTGAGACGTTTACTGGGTTCCTACCGGTTAGTGGAAAGAGGGTAGTATCTCCTTACGATCATTGGATGTAGTTCAATAGTCTTCATGTTTGTGGTTGGATGGTGGCAAGAACGTTAAGGAGCCATGAGCTTCTCATCCTAATAGTCGAATGACGTCACGACATGTTGTGAGCCATCGTGGAGTTCACTTTTATGATTAAGGTCGGCAGTTGGGTAGCGGAGACCTGTGTGTAAGTTTGTTAATTGTGTGACATTGGCGGCTATTTGAGCAGTATAATGTCTTCACGGGTGTCTTAGTGGCCGACAAGTTAAGTTAAGCAGTTGTAGAGTGTTGACTTTCTGGGAAAGTCATAGTAGTATGTTGATAGCTCATTGTTGAGATTCTTCCTATCAGACTTGTGTTTGTTTCATAATGAGCTTTCGTGTGAATTCTCTCTAAATATTACCTATTTCATGATGCTTGTTATGAGTATTCTTAGAGTTATTGGTAACTCCATGACTACTGATGGTCCCTACGTTACCGATAACCCATAATTATTTACATTGACATATGGTATTGGTATACTAGTTTGGAATACCAAGGGGCCAGTGGTGCATGTGGTTTTAAGACCCTTGGGAATTTTGGCAGATGTTTGTGTGCCTGTGTTGTTCCAGGAGCCTAAGTGTCACATGATTTTCGCTTTGGTTAGTTGGTACTTGTCAATAAGTTAGGTTTATAGTTAAGGACCTCAATCAATATATCTAATTATGGGTTCGAATGAGTTGAATAGCTATTGTTCCGTTTAACTATCTCCATGGCTTGATGCAGGGTTTTGAGCTAAGGAGGGGGGATGTGTGGACTAGATTAGCTCTTGATTGTTCTTTGTCACTCGGATGGCAGTTTCTGTAGTTAGTAGGGAATTCTATCTTATGCTATCAGTGGGACGGTGTAAGGTTAGGAATGGTTTTTTATTCTAATCATACCTTTGAGTCTTAGTCCACATGGTAGAGGTTGAGGGATGCTTTGTTCGTCGGGGGGACAAACTAGTTCGAGGAACTTAAGTTACAAGCAAGGGAGCCAGCTCTTCTCGAATCAGTTGCTTATGATGTGATGATCTTGATTCTCTGTCAGTGAGCGTGATTAAGCGGTCGATGGCCATTATCAATAGGAACTTACGAGCAAGGGAGACTTCTCTATGTGTGTTTGTGTGTATGGGTGTGTGTGTGTGTATGAAGGTTCAAATATATAACTAATTAAAACTCATAATACCATAAAGCCAAACAAAAAAAACAAAGTTTATTTCTTAACATATGTCTGATCAGTTATGAACATTAGTCATTTTCGTATGGTTCTATGGCTTTTGTAACATCTAATGCAGATACTTGAGCTTACAATGTTTTGAATTAAATAAGAATGAAAATCCCGAATATATAGAGGGCATGACATGAGAAAGCGTATCTCACAACGTGACATTTAGGTTGAATCGTGTGGACATTTTTGAGGCGCAGGACGTGACAAATAGGTGTTCACGTCGTGAGATCAGGCTAACCTAATTCCCTGTTTTATGCTATATTTAAAGGAAGTGTAAGGCTGGGGTTAGACCCTCAGTCTTCATCGCCTCCTTCCTGCCCAAATCGACTTTAGCCTCCATTACTGACCTTGAAGAGCTCATATGGTGGTTTTGGCTCTTTGAAGAAGAGGACTCCTTGGTTGCATCACTTTTATCAAGAAAGTACCTTCT